CCCTGGACTGCAAGGAGAACAAACCTATCAGTTATAAAGGAAATCAACCCTGAGTGCTCACTGGAAGGACAGATCCTGAAGCTGAGGCTCCAGTACTTTGGCCATCTAATGAGAAGAAAAGACTCCCTGGAAAAGACCCTGATGTTGGGAAAATGTGATGGCAAGAGGAGAAGGGGACGACCGAGGATGAGATGGCTGGACAGTGTCTGCGAAGCAACCAACATGAACCTGACACAACTCCGGGAGGCAGTAGAAGACAGGAGGGCCTGGCGTGCCCTGGTCCATGGGGTCACGAAGAGTCGGACACGACTAAACGACTAAACACACACACACAAGGACAGCCCTTTCAGTAATTTTGTTCCGTACCTGGCTGAACCTAATCACGCCCTTGAGGAGATTGCATCACATATCTTTGGCTCACGCATCAATTGATTTTGCAAAATAGAAAGATTCTGATCCAGGCTGAAAACTGCCGATATAGCCTCTTGGGGGGAGTCTGAGACCAGAGAATGGCGGTGTCGCCTTAGGGAGGAGAAGGAGGCGATTGCGAGGGAGACTGAGGTGTGTTGGACATGGCATCTGGAGGAGCTCCGAAAGATGGGCCACTACCTGGACCGTGGGACGCCCGATCCAGAGAGGAATCCCCGTTACAGGGATGGTCAGGGGACGAAGAAACCCTTCTGTTACTGAGTCGGGAAGTAACTGAGGTAAATGGCAAGGAGCCAGAGAAAGTTTTGGCAGGACCTTGGGACTTGAAGGATATAAACCTGTTTGAAAGCGCTACGCATTCACCCTTGAGGGAACCATTGTTCTTTCAAGAGACATTTGCACCAAAACCTTTAGATGATAATGTTCAGTTTCCCGAGTTAATAAATGGAGACCACTTTATTGAAACTTCCAATGACTCCTGGTTTATTTCAAAAGAAGGAGGCCCTGATATCCAAACCTTTACAGGAGGGCTTGTCCATGTCCTGTCATGGAAAATGGTTCACACTGAGGAAACACAGGGAAAGGCTTTCTCGGCTGTAGCACCCCAGATGCAGCTGAGAAAGGCTTCCTGCATGCCAGGGGGTAAAGCAGCTACCACTGCCTTGCCTGGACTAGTAATGTGGCCATTCCACTCAGCTGGAACCTTTGTGCTTAAAAGTTTGTGTGGAATTGCATATAATAAATTTAGAGAGACAGGTTTGAATGACAGGAAAATATGAAAGTCTGAGAAATAAGAGAACTGGAAAGACTGGGAGAAAAAGAAGTCATCAGGCAAAAACCTTTATCTTCAGGAGAAAAGTGGAGTATACTGTAAATCAAGGAAGCAAGCAGTTAAAACTATGCCTCAGATTGATAATTTAATCCTAAAAAGAGAGTAGGATTGCAAAACCTCTGAGGAGGAATTAAAGAGCCCCCAAACGCTGTAGCCTTTCCTCGTAAAGGAGGTGCCCCAGTCCAGTCAGGTGAAGGAAAACACCCTCGCTCACTCATCCCAAAAGAGGTTAAAGGAACAGAGTCTTATGTTCCTAGAGAGGCAGGACGTATGGAAGATGGGGAAGAAAATAATCAACGCACTTCCTTTAGTCTCCCGGGGTAAAAAAAGGTTAAAGGAACAGAGTATAATGTTCCTAGAGAGGCAGGATGTATGGAAGATGGGGAAGAAAATAATCAGTGCACCTCTTTTAATCTCCCGGGAAGGGAAGATGCGGGGAGGGTTCCCCGGGCTCCCACCCCCTTCTTCCCTTTCGGGATCGTTACTGGGGGCCCCCGATCCATCCGACCCTGCTGTAACCACCGGCCTCCTGTTTGTCTCCAAAGGGGCCAGGTTGGTCGGGGCTTCTCCTCCTCCTCGCTCTGCTCGTGGACCGTGAGAGGGAGGCGGGGAGAGGGAAAGACCCCCTCCAGAGAAGGGGGGGCGCCTCCCCCTGGAGAAGTTTCCCGGGGGGGGGACACCAGGAGACGCTGTTCTTCCCGCGCACACACACCCCAACAGGGGAGGCTCTTTCCCTCTCCTTCGAGGTGGGAAGAGGGAGGCTGGGGTGCTGATGTGAAACCTCGGGAAACCAGCGAGGGCTTCTCCCTGGGGGGCTCTCAGAGCATCTCCCCCTCCCTAAGCTGAACAGCCTGAATATTATACCAGTTGCTTCTTCAAGGCAGAGCAGAAGGTGAACCTCCGCAAAGCCATGTTTGGGTGTGGCCAGGAGTGCTTTTGCACCCTGAACAGCAGTGCGCCAGCTGCTCCCTGTCCTGGAGAGGTCTGGTCTGGCCTCGGTGGCCCATGCCTTAATTACATCCCAGCTGGATTACTGTAACACGTTGTTGCCTCTGGAAAGTGTAAAGAAACATCAATGAGTCCAAACATCAGCGGGTCCAAAACAGAGCGCTGAGTTGGGCTTGTTACAGGGATCACATAACTTGCCTGTCACAGCTGCTCCATTGGTTGCCAATCCATTTCTGGGCACAATTCAAAGGGCTGGTTCATAGAGCCTGAAATGGTTTGGGTCCAAGCTATCTTAAAGACTGTATTTCCCATTATGAGTCTGCTTTTGGGCTAAGATCATCAGGAGAGGTCTTTATTTCAGTTCCACCACCTTCACAGGTGCATTTAGTGAGGACAGAGGAAAGGGCCTTTTCTCTTGCTGTTTTGAGATTTTGGAAACTCGCTCCCACAAGAGGCCAATAGGCAAAGACAGTTATCTTCAGGCAAGCCTTCCCTCAGTGGCTGGCTGCTTGAGTAGAGTTTTTAAATGGATTGTTATGCCTCTGTGTGTTGAATACTGCTTTTGTTTACCATTTCTCATAGTGGTATTTGACTGATCTTTTAAAATATATTTATATGTATTGCTTTTAGCTTTAAACGTTTTAATGATGTAAGCTGCCTTGGGTCCTTTTTAAGGAGAAAGGGAGAATTATATATATCTGGCCCATGGATCATACATAGCCTTGTTTATGCCTCCCATGTTTTGCCCATAGGAACAAACAATGGCATCAGAGATGCAGACTGGATTGCCTCTTCTGGATGTTGGGGTGGAAAAGATAAGCTCACAGACTCCTCAGGTAAGAGAGGTCTCATCAGAGGGAGATAAAGGGGCAGGCTTACTACTTCCCACTGGTTTGACATTTGAAATGTGGATGATTATTATTACTATTACTACTGATTCTATTTCAATATTTTTAAGACTGAAAATGATTGTAGCAATGAAAATAGCTTGGAAATGTAAAGCAAGTACAGAAAGCAGATGTAATATAACTTCCTGTCAGTAATATCTAATTTTAGGGATAATTAATTGGCATATTGCTGACATTTGAAAATGAAAAGTTAAAAGCGGCCTCTGTTCTACTTGGAGAATGATCTTTATGCTGTGAATTGTTTCTGTATTTCTCATATGACATCTTGATTTGTGGACTAATCAGATTGACTACAATCACAGATTAGGAGACTTCCAGAGTAGAAAACGTGTCCTTTCTATCTTCAGCTGGTGTCCTTTGAGGAGGTGGCTGTGTACTTCACGAAGGGAGAATGGGATCTCCTGGATCCAGGACAAAGAGCTTTGTACAAGGAGGTCATGTTGGAGAACTACAGGAATGTGGTCCTGCTGGGTAAGAAGGCTTTTTTTTCGATCAAGAAGAGGTCAAAAGAATGGATTGTTACTCCCTGGAACTTGGTTTTGAGGTGGGCAAGGCCCTTGACTGGGTTCACACAACCACCTGTTGATTTGATACTATCTTTTCGTAGTGTATAAAAGATTTCCCCAACCCCTGTTCCATGGCCCGATACTGGTCTGTGGCCTTAGCTGCATCGGGCCACGGAGACAGACAGACCCCACCCCTGCATGCACGCCACCCCCGCACAGCCCCTTTGTGCATGCAGGCCTGTGCGAGTGCTCCACCACCCCTTCGTGCATGCTCACAAGTGCCCCTGAGTGCCGCACTGCCCTTCATACATGCACGCAAGCGAGCACCCGCACGAGCACCCTTCATGCATGCGCATGAGCATGACGATTGCCCCACCTTCCCCAACCGGTCCGTGGGGTTAAAAAGATCGGGGACTCCTGGTACATGACATCTACCACAGAGATGATGGTTAGCCTAGTCCAGAAGGCGATAAATTTCTCTATGGGACAGAATGGGGTCCAGTTATGCTTAGGGAAGGATTTGGAAGAACAATTCCTGGATGAACCTTTTTTGGACCCATAAATGGTCTTTTCCCTGCCAGGCAAAGGCAATTTTCTTTACTTCGATATTTAAACTTTAAGAATCATTTAAGATTATTGAAGATCTTCCAATAGTTGGCATGTGTATTTTGCAGCTAATTAAGTTTGATGAAGTTCATGTTTTAATTTTTGTTAATTAACGGTGCTCAAGTCATGCAGCAGATTAAGAAATATAGAGAACAAATAAGTGATATTTTTTAGATAAACATGGATTATTAGATTGTTGTAGGTTTTTCGGGATGTTTGGCCATATTCTGGAGGTTTTTCCTCCTAACATTTCACCAGTCTCTGTGCCCGGCATCTTCAGAGGACAGGAATTAGAACCTACAACAACCATTGGATCCCGGCTGTGAAAGCTTCAAGAATACATAGATTATTAGCCTTCTCTTGCTTTAAAAGAAACCCCCAAACCCATCCTCATGTCCTGGCTGGTAAAAAACAAAGCTGTATTTCCCTGGGGCCTTCAGGAAAAGATGAGATAAGGAGGTCCCTGTTTTCATCTGTGGTGGGAGCTTTTATTGTCCAGGAATTGAGAGATTTCATTGGTGTTTTGTATTTGATCGGGTATCTTAATCGGCAACAAGTTGTGTCAATCAACAGGCTTCTGATCAGTCCCTTTCTCTGATGCTTGGTGTCATTCCAGGTAGAATACCTCTAGCAAAAAGACAGAGGTGCTCCTCATTGGTCAAAAGGCAAATCAGAGAATAAAGTATCAGGGCATGTTGGAAGAGGTGACACAGCTGAAAAGACAGAGATGCTCCTCGTTGGTCAAAAGGCAGATCAGGGCATGTTGGAAGAGGTGACACAGCTAGTGCGCCAGATATGCCTGTTCCTAGAAGTGTCTGATCTTTCCAAAGTGGCACATGCCTTACTTACATCCAGTTTGGCTCCCCTAAATATCTATTTGGAAGATGGGCCATCTCAGATTGGCATAGCCAGAACACTCCTGCACTCTTTTTTTATTGTCCCTTCACGGTCAGTTTTAGAAAATTGAACGTTGAGAGTTTCTATTCCATCCCATTGCATGTGTGGGTCAAGGTAGCTCAGGGTTTTATTCTATTCTCCTTGCTTCCTAAGATCTCCAAGAGACATCTGGGGGAGTCATCCAGGAATTGGGAGGGTATGTCATCAGTACATCAATTGTGTGTGCTTCTGTTTCTCCTTTTTTCTCCGGTTAACCCGGGAGAAATTAGCCTGTGCCCAAGGCAGGGCCTCGCTTGCAGATCCCAAAGATTGTGTTCTGGCAGTCCAAGGTTTAGAACAAAGAGTAGATATTGATGATGGCAGTTCACGTCAGAATCAGAAGGCAGTCCCAAGGTCTAATTTGGGAAATTGCAACCAAAAGGTGGGGGGAAGGGCTGTAGATGGGCAACACGGAGTAAGAATGAGAAAACAGTTGAGGTTCAGAGTGACAGGAGTCATAGGAGCAGACCAGAGCTAGATCCAGCACATGATGTTGCTTTGCCACAACTTTCTTTAGCAGTATCTCTTCCTTTGCCTTGAAGACCCAGGGTGAGTTCGAATGGCCTGTCTTTCAGTGCCCAGTGGGCCAGGAGGTTCAGACTGGTCTTCAAAGCAGGAAGCTTCCACACAGCACCTAAAAGATCTTATGTCATTGGTTTAACTTTTGTAGGAATGTAGATTGCAACGAAGAAATGAAAAGGAAAGAACCCAGCCACTATAAGGGGCTGGTTCCTTCATGGTGACAAATTGTACTGAGCCTGTTCTGTACAAAGTTGTTACATGTAACCCAGGATTGGATTTGAAGTCTAATGATACTGTTGCTTCTAATCTATCTTGCGTAAAAAACTAGATTAACAGCTGAGCAATAAATGTAAATATTTGTAGAATTATACCATCACTAGCCTCTCTCTCTCTCTTTTTTTTCCAAAGCCATTCCCAAACCAGACCTCATCTTCTCACTGGAAGAAGGAGATGATCCGTTTATCCAAGACTCTGAGGAGCAAAAGAGAGTGGGAGGTTGCTTTGGTATGTATTGTGGGACTTTTGGACAGCCTCAAGCTTCCCGTTTGTGAGGGGGAGGACTCTTTCAGAAAGTATGTTGAGTCCACCAGCAGTATTGGGCATGTTTAGCCTTGAGAAAAGAAGACAGAGGGGAGATCTGAGAGCAGTTTTCAAATACTTGAAAGGCTGTCATACAAAGGAGGAGGGGGCTAGATCTGTTCTCGATCATCCCAGAGTGCTCAAGTTACAGCAAACCAGATTTCGATTGAATATCAGGAAATACTTCCTAACTGTTAGAGCAGTAAGACAAGGGAACCAATTATCTGGAGAGGTGGTGAGTGCGCTTACACTGGAGGCATTCAAGAGAAACTTAGACAACTACCTGGGAGATATCCTTTGATTTGTATTCCTGCATCGAGCAGGGGGTTGGACTTGATGGCCTGTTAATCATGACCTATTTCCTTGTGCGCTATAACCAGGGTCGTATAGGTCTTGTGAAACCTGACAGACCATGGTCTTTGCTTTTTCTGCACTAACCTCCAAGAGCAATTGTTCAGCAGCCCAATGTACCTGTCTCTGTTTTTAACCTTTATAAAGCACTAGTATCAAATACTGCTTTTACAGGAAGACATTTATCTTTGTAATAATCTTGGAGCCGCAGATCTGGAAGGGACCCTTGTGGATCGTCGAGTCCAAGCCCTATCAAAGAGACACGGTGGGGAATCAAACTCCCTACCTCTGGCTCCACAGCCAGATACCCAAGCCATTGAGCTACCCTTTGTCTTGGTCTCTGCAACAGACAAAGCTTCTTACGTTTTCCCCTCTCAACTGCCTTGGGCAAGAATGTTCCAATGTGGCCACCCTGTTTCCTGTTTTTTGATCTTGAATTTCCTTTCTGCCCTTTTTGGACAGCACACCCAGCATTGGCCTTGCTGAACAACCTCATGTCCTAAAACCTTGGGCAAGAATGTTCCACTGTGGCCACCCTGTTTCCTGTTTTTTTGATCTTGAATTTCCTCCCTGCCCTTTTTGGACAGCACACCCAGCACTGGCCTTGCTGAACAACCTCATGTCCTAAATCCTGAGTGCCTGTGGAGTGACTCTTGTTGAGGTTTGAGAGGCTTATTGTTGTATGCCATCATTTTATTTCTGATTGAAGGTTACATTTGAATTAGTGTCCTCCAAAAAGTTGAATCATTAGCAGTCGTCCTTAGAACTCCTTCCCTTTCTGTTTAGAAGACCAGGTTAAAAATATACCTGACTTCACAAGAATAGATTTAGATGCTGGAGTTAAAGCAGTTCCAATCTGGACTAATGAAGAATTCCCAATACTGCAGCATTAAAGGCAATAGTGTACTTTTATGTCATATTTGTGGCTCTCCCCTCCCCTATACCTGGCTGTAGTTCTCTTGTCCTTCCCTTTGGCTTGCACAGTCCTGTGGCAACAGATACCACTTGTGTATAACCAGTACTGAAAACACTCCCTCAGGTCGGTGTGTATTAAAACCAAATAGGATACAATTTAGAAATGAATTCAGTCATTCTTAGAGATAGAGCAAACAGAGAGGAAAACAGGATTGTTCTTGAAAAAGTGAAAAAAAGAAGATATCATTTGAACTCTGTTTTAGCCTTAAGATTCCACATCTCTCTAAAACTGTCTTGACAGGAGGCTATTTCTCAATTTTTCCTCAAATTTAGGTGATGCAGAGGATGATGATTATTTCCACAAGCTGTCTTGTGTTGCATGGGAAGACAAGGAACCAGAGGAACAAGGAGATCAAAGGGGAGCAAAAAAACAAATGCAAAACCAGTCAAGGAAAGAAAGGGAGAAAATCTCCACCTCTCAAGTGGCAGAGAGTGAATTGAAGAGACATGGTACAATCCAGTCAGGATCACAACAATATCAAGTCATGGGCTCTGGAAAACGTTTCAGTGACGGTGAAACATTTTCCGATAAAAGAAGACCCAAAGGGGAGAAGCCATGTAAATGTATGTTATGTGGCAAGAGTTTCATTCTTTTTTCCAGACTTGCTTTACATCAAAGAACTCACACAGGAGGGAAACCATATAAATCCCTGGACTGCAGAAAGGGCTTTAGTAAGAAATGGGTCCTTAGGCAACATCAGAGGAGTCACAAAGGGGAGAAGTCATATAACTGCATGGAGTGTGGGAAGCGCTTCAATGAGAAATGGGTTCTTATGTGGCATCAAAGTGTTCACACAGGACAGAAGCCGTATAAATGCATGGAATGTGAAAAAAGCTTTCGTAGCAAAGGTAACCTTAGGCAGCATCAACGAACTCACACAGGGGAGAAACCATATCAATGCATGGAGTGTGAAAAAAGCTTTAGTAGCAAAGGCAACCTTAGGCAGCATCAAATAACCCACACAGGGGAAAAACTATATAAATGTACAGAGTGTGGAAAGAGCTTCAGTCAGAAAGGGAATCTTAGGCTGCATCAAAGTACTCACACAGGGCAGAAGCCTTTTAAATGTATGGATTGTGGAAAGAGCTTCAGTCACAAAATGGGCCTGCAGCAGCATCAAAGAACTCACACAGGGGAGAAACCTTTTACATGCACAGAATGTGGGAAAAGCTTCCGTCAGAAAGCACATCTTAGGATTCATCAGAGGAATCACACGGGAGAGAAACCATATAAATGCATGGAGTGTGGAAAAAGTTTCAGTCAGAAAGGAGTCCTTACTTTGCATCAAATTATTCACACAGGTGAGACATTGTATAAGTGCATAGAGTGTGGAAAGAGCTTCAGTCACTCAGGGGCCCTCAGGCAACATCAAAGTGTTCACACAGGAGAGAAGCCATATAAATGCATGGAGTGTGAAAAAAGCTTTAGTAGCAAAGGAAACCTTTGGCAGCACCAAAGAATTCACACAGGGGAGAAACCTTATAAATGTGTGGAGTGTGAGAAAAGCTTTAGTAGCAAAGGGAACCTTAGGAAACATCAATGTATTCACACAGGCGAGAAACCATATAAATGTACAGAATGTGGAAAGAGCTTCAGTCAGAATGGAACACTTAGGCTGCATCAAAGTATACATACAGGGCAGAAGCCTTTTAAATGTGTGGATTGTGGAAAGAGCTTCAGTCACAAAATGGGCCTTTCGCAGCATCAAAGAACTCACACAGGGGAGAAACCCTATACATGCATAGAGTGTGGAAAGAACTTCAGTCACAAACAGACCCTTATGCAGCATCATAGGATCCACACAGGGGAGAAACCATTTAAATGCCTGGAGTGTAAAAAAAGCTTCAGTAGGAAAGATGACCTTAGTCGGCATCAAAAAACACATACAGGGGAGAAACCATTTAAATGTTTAGAATGTGGTAAGAGCTTCATTCAGAAAGGGAGTCTTATACTGCATCAAAGTACTCACACAGGGCAGAAGCCTTTTAAATGCATGAATTGTGATAAGAGCTTCCGTCACAAAAGGGCCCTCGAGCAGCATCAAAGTGTTCACACAGGAAAGAAACCATATAAATGCATGGAGTGTGAAAAAAGCTTTAGTAGGAATGGGGACCTTAGGCGGCATCAAAAAACCCACACAGGGGAAAAGCCATATAAATGCATGGAGTGTGGGAAGAACTTCAGTCTGAGCTCTATTCTTATTAAGCATCAAAGAACTCACACAAGGGAGAATCTGTACAAATGCATGGATTGTGGAAAAAGCTTCAGTGATAGTGGTACCCTTACTGCCCATCAAAGAACTCATATCAGTGAGAAGCCTTTTAAATGCATGGATTTTGGAAATGACTTTAGTCTCAAAATGGACCATCAAAGTGGTCACACCCAGGAGAAATCATATACGTGCATGGAGTGTGGAAATAACTTCTGTCAGAATTGGCAACTTAGGATGCATCACGGATATCATACAGGGGAGAAACTGTATCATTGTGTGGAATGTGAACAAAGCTTTAGTAGGAAATGGGACCTTAGGAGGCATCAAAGAACTCACACAGGGGAGAAACCGTATAAATGTATGGAATGTGGAAAGAGCTTTCATCAGAAATGGGATCTTAGGCGACATCGAATTATTCACACAGGGGAGAAGCCATATAAATGTATAGAATGTGCCAAGAGCTTCAGTCAGAAAGGGACACTTAAGTTGCATCAGAGTACTCACACTGGGCAAAAGCCTTTTAAATGCATGGATTGTGGAAGGAGGTTTCATCACAAAAGGGCCCTGGAGCATCATCAAAGTGTTCACACAGGGGAGAAACCATATAAATGCATGGAGTGTGAAAAAAGCTATAGTAGAAAAGGGGACCTTAGGCGGCATGAAAAAACTCACACAGAAAAAAGCTGTATAAATGCACAAAGTCTGGAAAGAACTGCAGTCTGAGGTCAACTCTTTTTACACATCAAAGAACTCAGTTGTGGGAGAAACCACATACTGTAAATGTATAAAATGTGGAAAGAACTTCAGAGAGAAAGGGTCGCTTAATACAGGGGTCTCCAACCCCGGTCTGTGGCTTTGCCAGGACTGGGCCGCGAAGACAAATCTGTTCCCCCACAGACGCAGGCACAGCCCTCCCACACAAGGACGGCCCCTCCCATGTATGAATGCCCCCCCACGATGGATGCACACACAGCCCCTCCCATGTACTCATAGATGCACGCACGGTACCTCCCATGCACAGATGCACACATAGCTTCTCCCATGCACAGATGGACCTCCCTCTGCACACTAAACCATCCTGTGGAGGTGAAAAGGTTGTGGACCACTGCCTTAGTATGAAGGTATTCATAAATTTGAGAAGGCATAGGATTTGATGAGAACTGTACTGATAAAGTATACCAGAGACGGACATGAATTGAGTCTCACTGTTTTGTAAAAAAATCTCTTCCCCTGCCTGCTGGCTGGCTGACCTACTTACAGCCAATTGTCCGCTGCCAGGGTTGTCCTCCTCTGGCAGCAGGCCCGTCGAAGCAGGAGCCCAGGCTGCCCTTCCCCGCCTCCTCTGATAGTCAACCACTTAATTGCTGTGCAGGTAGACTTCCTCGTCTGAAGGAGGATCCTGGCAGTACACAACAGATTGTAAGTGAGCCAACAGGCTGAGGGGTGGGAGGAGGAAACGAGTGGCACCTTTAGTGCTGCACATCTTAATTCATACAAAGTGACGTGGCTCAATTTGTGCCCATCTCTAAAGTATCCCTTAGGCAGCATCAAAGCACTCACACAGGGGAGAAACCCTATATCCTCGTCTGAAGGAGGATCTTGGCAGTACACAACACATTGTAAGTGAGCCAACAGGCTGAGGGGTGGGAGGAGGAAACGAGTGGCACCTTTAGTGCTGCACATCTTAATTCATACAAAGTGACGTGGCTCAATTTGTGCCCATCTCTAAAGTATCCCTTAGGCAGCATCAAAGCACTCACACAGGGGAGAAACCCTATAAATGTAGAGTGTGGAAGGAGTTCTACTTGGAAAAGGTTCCTTAGGTGATTGCAGGGAACTCAGAGTAAGAGTGATATACATGCATCCAGGTCAAATTACGCTCTTGTTTAGGGCAGAAAAATATGGTTTATGACTGACAGAGACTTCATATTTCCTTCTTTTAGTAAGCAAACTCAAAAAATAGCAAATGTTTTTTGAAAAAGAATAATGTGATGTTAAAAGAACCTCTAAAACTGTGCAATTGGATAGAGATCAGTGAAGACCTGTTAAACCATTGTATTCATTTGTGCACCACAATTCTAGAATATGAGTCCCTTACCTCACGTGCCAGATCTGCAAAAAATGATTTTATCAGTTGAGATTTTTTTGACCGTTTCTTCTCTCTTTTATTCCCTTCTTTTCTTAACTAACTTAATTAAGTCAGCCAATAAGATGGATAGTAGCCTAGGTGTTTCTCCTCTCGTTTTTATTTATAATTTTTAGCTTGGAAGCATATGATTATAAGATATGTGCAAGTGCCTGTTAGTGTATTTTGGTTTATAAGTATTGCTTGTGGGGTTTTGTTTCATCAGATGTACAGTAGCCTAAACCAATCAGCTCAGCAGGTACTAGTTAAGAAACATTCAGATTTCTGGTTGTTGTAGGTTTTTTTTGGCTGTTTGGCTGTGTTCTGGAGGTTGTTCTTCCTAACGTTTTGCCAGTCTCTGTGGCTGGCATCTTCAGAGGACAGGAGTTAGTACTCTGTCCGTGTTCTAACTCCTGTCCTCTGAAGATGCCGGCCACAGAGACTGGTGAAATGTTAGGAAGTAAAACCTCCAGAACATGGCCAAAGAGCAATAAAAATGTACAACAACGATCGGATCCCTGCCGTGAAAGCCTTCGAGAATACATTATGATTTCTGTTTTATTGTTCACTGCCTTATATCAGTGTCTGTGTGGATTAACTATGACTAATTGTAAGAAACTTTTAATTGTCCTGTAAACTTGGACAGTACGAACCAGGAAAATCCTAATATTGTTTCCTTTAATTGCTGTACAATGCATATATTCTGCCATAGAGTACAAGCAGTATGGAAATAACTTCAGTTAAATCATTTCATCTACAGGACATTTAAGACTACACATCCTGCAGAAAAGATATAATGGCTGGAAAGATTTAACATCATTTTATTTGAATCTGGGAGCTGAGTCATGGTAACTGGACCTCTTAGGCTGAAAGGTCTAACTACTCATCCAAGTAGCTTCTTCAGTCTGAGGAGAGTTGGTAGGAGACCAATGATATATCCTCAGTTGATTTCACTTCCCACTGGTCTGAATAGGCTCCTTAGATGGACAAAGGATAGGGACGAGTGAGTAAAAATCCCATTTCTGCAGTCTTTCGCCACCCATTGTCATGAGTTTTTAATAGTGGTCTTTCTGGTGTGTGTGGTCCTTTCTGGGGAAAGGATGAAAGGGCAGCATGAAAAATAGGGGACAGGCAATAGGAAACAGAAGAAACTATTTACAAAATTATGTGCTCAAAAACTTGACAAATATTTACAAAATTATGTGCTAAAAAAACTTGACATGGTATCATGATGAAAAGAAGAATAATTTAGTCTGAGAAAATGGTAGAAAATAGTTTTTCTCCTCAAACTCACATCTAAGGAGGGAGCTCAACATAACATCTCCCTCAAGATGAAGGGCAAGCAACCAGAACTGTAGTTTATTAGCAATTATTTGGGCTGCTGTGTTTTCAGTCCAAAATCAGTGAGAAAGGAGCTCGAGATAGAAAAGGGGAAAAGAAATAACAATACAAAACAAGGCTGAACCAAGCTTTATTTCTCTTTGCATATGCTGCAGAGTATTTTATTTAGATTGTTGGTCATCCTGTGCCCTGGTGAGGAAAAATGGGATAAAAAGAGGCCAAGAGATGGAAGGAAAACAATGATACAGACCATGAACAGTTAAGAATAAAGATGTACATATGAGTCTCTGTGGACTGCAATTCTTGGTTTCTCCTGGGAAATTCCAGAAACTATCTGAAACACAGAGTATGCATGTGTCTAGTTAATATTAAAACCAGAGTAAAGCTGAAGAATGCTAAAACAATCATAGTGTAATTAACTGAGTCTGTACTGACTTCTAGTGACATAATGTGCCCCCCAAACATATTTATTTATTATTTCAGTGATTTATGTATTGCTCCATTAGGGCAATGCACTATTCTGGTTGGTTAACAGAACACCCAGTTTCTAGTTGGTGTTTTCTTGACCTCCTTCAGCTTGGCCACCTGGAAGGATCCGGTGGATCTGGTAGATGATGATATTGGGGAAAGACACCTGACAACTACAGTGGACCCTCGACTTACAGACTTTTCGAGTTACAGACTTCTCTGGCCGCAAAATTTAGGTTCGACTTGCAGCCAGAGAATCGACCTACAGACTGGGAAAAACCCAAAATGGAACAAAAATGGACGGTTATGAATTAATCGGTTTTCAATGCATTGTAGGTCAATGGAGCCTCGACCTACAGACTTTTTGACCTGCAGCCACCGTTCCAATATGGATTAATTCTGTAAGTAGAGAGTCCACTGTAATGGGATCCCAAACTGTGGACGACTTTCTAAAGGTAAAGGTTCCCCTTGACAATTTTTGTCGAGTCGTGTTCGACTCTAGGGGGCGGTGCTCATCCCCGTTTCCAAGCCACAGAGCCAGCGTTTTTGTCCAAAGACAATCTTCCGTGGTCACATGGCCGTGCGACTTAGACATGGAATGCTGTTACCTTCCCAGTGGACGGGTTTCTAGACGAGCACAAAAAAAAATTGAACTTGACCCAGTGCATTACAGATAACCAGTGCAGACACTCCAAGGCTGGGGAGATGGGATCAAATTTACTCACACCTGCTACCAACCTGGTAGCTGCGTTGTGAACCTGCTGCAATCCCTGAGTCAGTCTCAAGGGAAGCCCCATGTACAGAGTGCTCCAGTAGTTGATTCTGGAGATCACCAAGATATGCAACCACTGTCCTGAGAGCTCCCTCATATTGATAGGGACAGAGCTGGGCAATAAGCATCATCTGACTGAAGGCCATCCTGGACATGCCCGGGTTCTGAACCTGATCACTAAGCCAAAAGTCTACCAGACACAGCCTAGGGAGAATCCTCCCTAACCTATCTGAGGGACCTCCTCAGGAGGAGGATCTCCATCTTATCTAGGTTCAGCTTGAGCCTGTTAGCCCTGGTCCATACTTAATCGAAGTCTTTCACTTCTCCAGTGACAGCTCAAATCCTCAGGCTTCTTTTGAAATATCTAACAGGTCTAGCATGCTGTGCATGGGATGCTCACTAAAACATATGATCCCCTTTAGAAGAGAAAGCCTTTCTAGGAAAACTACTGGTAACGTCACAACCCAACCAGGGCGAAGGACAACAACTTCCCTCATTGGTTCCCAACAAGGGTTAAAGGAACAGATTCTTATGTTCCTAGAGAGGCAGGACGTATGGAAGATGGGGGAAGAAAATAATCAGTGCACCTCCTTTAGTCTCCCGGGAAGGGAAGGTGCGGGGAGGGCTTCCCGGACTCCCACCCCCTTCTTCCCTTTCGGGATCGTTGCTGGGGGACCCGATCCTGTTGTAACCACCGGCCTCCTGTTTGTCTCCAAAGGGGCCAGGTTGGCCGGGGCTTCTCCTCCTCCTCCTCGCTCTGCCTGGGGACCGTGAGAGGGAGGCGGGGAGAGGGAAAGACCCCTCTAGAGAAGGGGGTCCGCCTCCCCCTGGAGAAGTTTCCCGGGGGGGGGGGGCACCAAGAGACGCCGTTCTTCCCGCACACACACAAACACACACACACACACCCCAAGAGGGGAGGATCTTTCCCTCTCCTTCGAGGTGGGAAGAGGGGGGTGACTCTCCCTCTCCTTCGAGGTGGGAAGAGGGAGGCTGGGGTGCTGATGTGAAATCCCGGGAGACCAGCGAGGGCTTCTCCCTGGGGGGCTCTCAGAGCATCTCCCCCCCCCCTAAGCTGAACAGCCTGACTATTATACCAGTTGCTTCTCCAAGGCCGGGAAAGTTGGTAGAGCAGACGGCGAACCTCCGCAGGTCATACCTGACACGTGTTTCCTTGTGAAGTAATGAATAGTGTAAAGATAAATGGATTGATTTACATTTCTGCATCAAGCAGGGGCTTGTACCCAGCGGCCTTATAGAATGGCATAGAGGGGACACATCTGCTTGTCTCTTCGTGCTCAGTTCCAGAAAGGGAGCTTGGAGAATTTCTATTCTCTCTCATGGCATTTGTGGGTTAGGGTCCCTCCGGGCAATATTCTACTCCTCTTGCTTCTTAGGATCCACAACAGACCTCTGAACGAATCATTTAGGTTTCTTCTTCTTTTTTGCCTGATTAATTCAGGAGAGATATGCGTATTCTCGAAAGAGGACTTGGTTCGGCAGATGCCAAATACTGAGTTGAGACAGTCCAAGGTTTACACCAGGGAGTAGACATTCTAGATGAGGACAGGCTAACCCAGAAATCACAAGGCAGTCTAAGTTGACAAAGTGTAACCAGAAGGCAGGTAGTCCATTGAAGGACAGAAAAGAGTCAGACTCAGCAAACAGTTAAGAGTAAAAAATGACAAGGGTCAGACGGAGCTAATCAAGTTAGAGCCAACGCACAATGTTGTTTCCAGCAACATTTTGTTTTAGCTCACACTGCCTTTCCATTAGGTTCTTGTGGGCCAGGAGTTTCAGATTAGTCTTCAGTGAAGGAAAGTTACAGCTGAAGCAGCTGTGGACTGGATATCACACCCCAGTGCTTCAAACAAAGGCACAGAAACCGCACAAACCCCGCTCTCCCCATCTGATGGTTCTTGAAAACAGACAAGTGTCTGTTGTATTTTATTTTTGTTTATTGTGTTTTAAATGTTGTAAGCCGCCCAGAGACCTTTTGGTTAGTGTGGACGCCATATAAATTAAATAAATAAATGAATGAATGAATGAATGAATGAATGAATGAATGAATGAATGAATGAATAATAAGTGTGTGCTGGGCGGGGTTGGGGGGGACACACAGAAAACCCTACTCCTCCATTTGGGAACTGGGGTGATAATTTAGTAAACTTCACTAGCTTTAAGCCAATTGGGGGGTCAGATGAACGTCAAAAGCATGTTACCTAGTGGTAACAGCCCAGAGCACTGCATACGATCCCCTGGAGGGGAAAGGTTTAGCGCGGGGAAAGAGGGAAGGAAGGCAAGTCAGCTCTTCTGCCACTCAGCCCTCCAAGGGTTAAAGGAACAGAGTCTGATTTCCTAGAGAGCCAGGATGTGTGGAGAAAAAATGTCTCCTCCCTTCTCAGTGGGAAGGGGGGGAAAAGGAAGGCTTTTTTGGTGGGGCTGCTGGCTGGAGGGAGGAAGAGGTAAAGGGGTGCGAGTGCGATGGGGGGGAGGAAGGTGAGGGTAAATGGTCGAAGTGATGGGGAAGGTAGCCTCCCTTCCCTATTGGGATTCTTGCTAGGGAGCAATCCTGCTGCAAAATTCAGGCTCTCGCCTCCCTGTTTTTTTTTTTCTGTTAGGGGCCAGTTTTGGAAGTTCAATCGGTTGAGTCACCGTGAGATTTAAAGAAAAAAAGGCACAGAAAGAAAAGCCCTTTCCACCCTTGGGGGCGGGGCGGGGGTTTGCAAAGGGACTTTTAAAAAAGCAGTTTTTTTCCCCACTCCCTCCAAACCAGAGAGCCTGTTTTCATTTTTCTTCTCAGGGAGCAGAAGGGAGATGGGAAGGCTGAGGTTGAGTCTCAGGAGAGACCAGTGAGGGCTTCAGACTGAGAAGTGGGCAGACTGGGAAGAGCTGCTGTTCCCCTTTCCCCCCCTCAACCCACAACCACTGCCCAAACGTAGGAGAGGAAGGGTGACTCGGTAGCTGTGGCTGACATTAGTAGTGGAGGAAGGAAGTATAAAGTTCCCCTTTAAGATTCCTGACCAGAAAGGGCCCTAAGTCAATTTCCCCAGGCAGAGGACTGGGAGTAGACTTTGTCTAAAAGAGTGGGATAGAAATCTAATAAATAAATTTGAAAATGGCACTTTGAATTTGAAAGCTGAAGAGGTCCAAAGCAACAACTGGAGGGGCAACTCCTTAGCTCCCTGCTTTTTTAAACAAACTGGAATTTTATATGTGGTGTTGTGGAGTTTCTTCAAGGAGAGAAAAGTTGTCAGACCAGAGAGTGAACCTCAGCGGACCATATCTGGCTCATGGACCACAGATGGTCCTGTTTATGCCTCTCCTGTTTTGCCCACAGGCAGTATGGTGGCTTCAGAGATGCATTCTGCATTGGCTCTTCTGGATAGTGACATGAACAGGATAGATTTGCGTACATTTGAGGTAAAAGAGAAAATATGTGTGAGAGGTGGAAGTGGCAAGCATTGAAAAATGGTCTCTTTTCTATCTCTGCTGTAAACTGTTGGTGTATGTCTTATGTGAAGTCAGGACTTATGAAGTCATAAGACCAAGTAAAATCCAGACTCGGAGATTTCTTCTGCTTTGAAAATGTTCCCTTTCTTTCCTCAGCTGGTGTCCTTTGAAGATGTGGCTGTGTATTTCAGGAAGGGTGAATGGCATCTCCTGGATCCAAGCCAACAAGATTTGTACAAGGAGGTCATGTTGGAGAACTACAGGAATGTGGCCTTGCTGGGTAAGGAGGCTTTTTATTTGGTCAAGAAGTGGCCAAAAGATTAGTCTTGGAAAGTTGCTTAAGCCATTCAAGGTTGAATGCCTCTAGGGAAATAAGAGGGTTTTTTTCTAAATATCTATTTCGTCTCACAGAATCTTTCCTCAGAGCTTCCTGCAGTGAACGGGATAGACTTGCGTACACTTGAGGTAAAAGAGAAAATATGTGTGAGCGGTGGAAGTGGCAAGCATTGAAAAATTGTCTCTTTTCTATCTCTGCTGTAAACTGTTGGTGTATGTCTTATGTGAAGTCAGGACTTATGAAGTCATAAGACCAAGTAAAATCCAGACTCGGAGACTTGTTCTGCTTAGAAAATGTTCCCTTTCTTTCCTCAGCTGGTGTCCTTTGAAGATGTGGCTGTGTATTTCAGGAAGGGTGAATGGCATCTCCTGGATCCAAGCCAACAAGATTTGTACAAGGAGGTCATGTTGGAGAACTATAGGAATGTGGCGTTGCTGGGTAAGGAAGCGTTTCATTTGGTCAAGAAGGGGCCAACAAGATGGATCCTTAGTCTTGGAAACTTGCTTAAGCCATTCAAGATTGAATGCCTCTAGGGAAATAAGAGTTTTCTGAATATCTATTCGGCCTCACAGAATCTTTCCTCAGAGCTTCCTGCTACATGCATAGCTATCCAAATGTTATCTTCATTTTGATTTTCCCACTTAATCTCTCTCCATTTGTAGAAGGCCTAACCTTAGAAAACTCAAGATCAGTTGTTAGCAAGACATAACACAAACTGACACACTTGTTCCCTAGGGAGCTACGATGATAAAACAAGTGAGATGGAGATTGTAATTAGAATGATGGAAAACACAGAGTGAATCTGACTGAACATGGATAATTCTCTGCCACCATTCTGTTCTGTACAAAATTGTTCAGTGGAGCTCTTTCAGATGGGCCTATTGTGTACCAGCCCATAAAGAAAAAACACAGGTCACTCAGTAGCTCATAGTGAAGAATTTGCATGATACTTTGCAGGCAAAATTGCTTGGATCTGCTCTGAGTTGTGTGTTGTAGTTGATGGAGCTCCTGTGAGTGTAACTTTGGCCCTTGCTTATTCATGGATATATTTTAGGTTTTTCATACTGAGGATGTGGATGGGACCCTTTGTCAGAAATAAATTTATCATTAAAACAATAAATCAATTATAATAAATCCAAAACAGGGCTGTTCTCCAAAACAGGCAGAAATAAATTTAAGCTGTAATCACAAATGGCGCTAAGCTTCTCAAATCCAATCTGAGGAAAGGCAATGACATTATTATATGCATGTCATATATCTTACTTTTGTTTGTCCAAAGTATGTCTGTAGTTTAGTCCCTTACTTAGTGACTGGAATAACTCTGTAGCTTCTTGCTCAGAGGTTTCAACTATGTCCGAGATATCAAATTACAAATCCAATGTGCTTGTTAATAGTACAGTTCTTGATTAATATAGATAAGAAAAACTATTTTCTGACACTTCCCTGGGTGTGACCCACCACACATGTGTTGGACTCTTACCTTTCCTAACATATTGAAGCCACCAGAAACCTTCGCCTTTGAAAGGCAGATCAAGGAATAAGGCTTCTGGCTTTCTTAGATGTGATTACACTGCCGCTCATGAAAACACAACAAGGCCAACTCTGGGAAGCAGTAGTAGTCAGGAGGGCCTGGAGTGCTTTTGTCTTGTTGTCAGTGTGCTATCTAAAGCCCACTTGACTTCACTCTCCAGGATGTCTGGCTTAAGGTCAGCAACTACACTGGGCTGTCTGGGACATCCAGATCTTTCTGGTATAATTCCTCTGTGTATTCTTGCTACCTCTTCTTAATGTCTTCAGCTTCTGTGAGGTCTCTACCATATTTGTCCTTTATCATGTCCACAAAATGTTCCTTTGATATCTCCAATTTTCTTGAACAGATCTCTGGTTTTCCCCTTTCTATTATTTTTTCCTCTATTTTTTGCACTGTTCATTTAAGAAGGCCCACTTATCTCTCCTTGCTGTTCTTTGAAAGTCTGCATTCAATTTTCTGTAACTTTCCCTATCTCCCTTACATTTTGTTTCCCTTCTCTGCTATAAGGCCTCCTTGGACAGCCACTTTGCTTTCTTGCATTTCCTTTTCTTTGGAATGGTTTTTGTTGCTGCCTCCTGTACAATGTTATGAGTCTCCATCCATAGTTCTTCAGGCACTCTGTCCACCAAATT